GAACCTGGGAGGGCGGCTGGTACTTTAATCAATACCCCCCTCCAGGAGCGTAGCTGGTGGGGGGGGGGGTGACCCCCCCCCCCCAATGTTTACAAATGCAATTTTGTCGGGCAACTTGTTCAAAGCATGTGCTATTTGTTGGGCAAGGTTACCTTGCTTTACTGTAGGTAAACAACGAAAAAACCGTATTGCAGAATTTGAAGATTGACCGACGACCGAGCTTTGTTTTTAACATTGTTCTTAGCGTGTTTGGATCATGCATTTTAATCAGCAAGAAATGAAGTACTATAAAAACAATAATTCGTATTATTCGTTTTGCAACATGATAGATACATCGAATTTAAATCACTGTATTGACATCCATACCTTTGACGATGATGTTATAGTAATAGTGCTATAGTAATAGTGTTATAGTAATATTCATAATATACATTAGCAAATACTTGTGTAGAACTACTGTCCACGCCCCTTTTTGTCGGGCAAAACTTGATTTTATTGGGCAAATATTGTTAACACCCCCCAAATGCTGATACCCAAGTTACACCCCTGCCCACATCCTCTAATGTGATCAATACCCACATCGTTGAAAGCCAATTAAGTGACTATATAATTCTGAGCACTTTAAAAATTACAATTTGACTATTATACACTGCAGTCATATACAGTATTTCCTATTTCCTAATACACATGGGCACTGCATTTTACAGTTTTGAACCAGCAGCCAACGGCCATTAATCCACTATAAACATACTGTGTCTGGCTAACATGATATAACAGTATTTTCTGTGGACAGCAAAAGTATGTGTATACATATTACAGATGGTAAATTTAGTAATATGTTAACTATGATTAATGTACTCTTTACAATTTTACCATATATAATGGCACTACATGTAATTATGTTGTTCTTTAGCATACATCATACATATTTGTTCACCGATTTCCCCATCAGTTATCTGAGAGATATGTTTGGGTATTATGCTGTTCCTGTGATCAAAGCAGAATGCAGTTTGTTAAAACTCTGAATGACCGGATTGAATCTGATCTTGATAAAGGTATAACGGTTTAACCATGCATGGGAGATGTAGACAATGGGGCAACTGCCCTACTCCCCCAATAATTTTTGAAAGCCTGTACAGTAAGTGCTAGCTGGATAACTACGTAAATTAAACTTTTTAACTGTGAGTACAGTTTTCAACCATGAAAGCTCTGCTATATACTGTAGTATTGCATAAAATTTAAAGGGGGAAAGTTTTAAGAACCAACAAAAGTTGCAGGGTAAAAATAAATCCGCATAAATTATGCACCTCAATGCATGAAAAAATTAATTGCATCGCTAATTGTTTTGATCGTTAGTTATATGAAGTCTGCTATCCTATTGCAAAGTATAAAAATTAAGAAGCTAAAACTTACGAAGATAACGTAAATTAATTTCGGATTGGATTGAGAAGTACATTTTAGCTACTGTATTATCCCACCATTCTATTGAAACTGAAGTGGTTACTCACTACTCAGATATTAATTTGTACTTGTACCTTTCTATATCAGCTATACCATACCCAAGTTGCTTACATGTATCAGCTATGGAAAAGTTCCTGGATGTGTATGACAAGAATTTTGATATTGATGCTAAGGATTTTTTCATGGAAAGTAAGTTATAACTATTAACTAGTACAGTAAGTTACGTCTCTCGCGCTTCGCTTCGCGTATCGACTTGTAGTACCGCAAGTCTAAGTGAAAGTACACTGTAAGTAACACATATGAAATTGAGAAATTGCTAAATTTTCAGGTGGTAACATTTAAGTTCACCGATATTGCAAAGCACCTATATGTATCCATTTTTTGTAATCAATTGGTAGAAATTTTCTAAGATGTTTTTTTAATTACTGTATATTAATGTTTACTACATGTATTAATACTGCAGTGGTTACTGTCTAGGACCTCTTTTGACATATTTTTACTATTCTTTTGACTCATTTTGTTTCGTGTTTTCCCACAAGGTAAGACAATCTCTATCGTGAATCAAGAAGTTTCCATTGAACATTCATACAACAAAATGCAAGTTGAAGAGGTACGGTACTGCTCAGAAATAATCTAACGGAAAACGCGTTTAGAACGCCGCTCAGAACGTTACCGAATGTGTTACATTTGCGTTCCTAGCGCATTCTAATTTGCGGTTTATTGACTTTATTCACGTTTCGCTCTGACCGGCGCAATTACCGATGCGCGTTCATGATTCAGTAGGAATAAAAGCGGGAATTTCATTTTGTAATTTCTTTGAATTGTTGCAAAATATATAAATTTATGTGCATAAATTAGCGTTTTAGGTACGTTTCCTGGTACAAATTTTTGCTTGCTGTTTTGACCGTGAAATGTGTTTTTTAGTTCATTTGCATTATAATGTATTATAGTATTTGACAATTTCTATATTGACTATTTCTATAGGACTTATTCTGTGCGGTATGTGGTGGAATGCAATGGATAGCTGTAAAACCAGTGAAATACCAGTGGGGAGTTTGTACCTTTGTGTATTCAAAGGTAACTCCTGCACAAGCAGAGCTGAAATGTTACAGCTGTTCATCATACCACTGCAGTCATGTCTCCAGTCTTGCAAGGGCTATAGATGAAGTTCAAGAGGATGATAACTCGGCGCTGGCTCTTTTTAAATTTTCCCTGGAGATTTCGCCAGAAATGCGCGACTATTTCGAAATGGCTACCCGTAGTGAAGAAAAGGTTCAGTTATTTCTAACAGGTATACATGCATGTAGTTAAATTTTCTAACAAAAACTTTATTGGCAATATATTTGACCTGCCAAACACGGTTCGCGTTCGAGTAAAATCATGTTTGACCAGACAAAGTTATAAGCGTCTACCAGGCCGTTATTTCGAACCGTGTAAACAACCCTAAACCAGAAATTAATTGGTTTTAGGCAACGAAAATGATGCAAATGATTTCTGTGCTCTTCCTGAGAAGAACGGATCAAAATTCTTTGTACCGCCGAACAGTGGTTGTTGTCCTTGCGGCGCGGAATGGGATGAACGTCCAGTTCAAGATGACTGGTTGGATGTTGAAGATTGTTCCGTTGCGTACCTTTATTCAATTCACCAAGTAAATGGTAAGCAAACGTACGGGATACCTTTAAATATTACATGCATGTACATTCTTGAGAGAGAATGCAGCAACATTTAGATACATGTAAGATGACGAAGAGAACATAAACTACAGTACTTCGCATGTATTTTACTTGATAAAAGATGCTAATAACCTAGTTAAAGTAAAGAATGAAAGAAAAAGAAACAAAATTAGAAAACTCGTTGACAAACTGTTCTGTAAAAATCGATTTAGTGTATTAATTCCTGTTATAAAGGAGGTAAAAAAGTTTTAATAATCGTTAATAAATTGTTTCGTATTAGTGTATTATAGGCCTTGTTTATCATGTGACAATAAGAAGCGCTACGATGGCATTGAAAACAGGGTTGTGTGGTTTGGCTCTTTTTGCATTTCCCATGCTGTTTTGAAGGATTATATTCGACTTTTCATAACGTCCAGGTACAGTAAAAGAACATGTTAATTTGTGCTTTCTAAATTTATTTGCTTCTCTTTTTCTTGTTCTATCCATAAGATATGTGTTGGTAATGTTGGTAATTTTACTTTCTTTTAAGTTTACCTATGTACAAATATTATGTGGCATTCGTACAGCGGCAAGTGTCTTCTGGGAATTTTGCATTCAGGAACGAGATTACTTACACAAAGTTCCGTCTTTCAGTTATTGCAATAATACGGTAATGTGAAAATTATGCAGTATTGTGACATACAGTATATTATGTACATTTAACTTTCAAGCTGGGGGATAATTTTAATAACCAAACAGGTTAGAAAAAAGTGTGCTACGTGCATGTGCTATCAATCTCGTATATTTTCATAGAACTGCTATTTTTATATAATCTACACCGGGCCGACGGGACGTTTACAAGAATGGGACTCTAGATCTCGTTATAAATGCAATAAATTCCAGTAGAAAAAATATTGTCCGATCAAGCGGCTATTGTCCGACTGGGCGAAGTTAGTGTTTATACGAAAAAAACGTTCCAGTTGAAATGTCGATTGCATAAACTGGGATCCCGCTTTTCCACATAAAGATCTAGGGATTATAACAGAAATATATACAAGCCGGAATCCAGTTCATTAACCCGTCGCGGCAAACGTCCTGTCCTGCCTGTCATATAAACAGCACCTAAAAAACTATAATGGAGAGAAGAGTAAACTTTTTAATATGTACTGTAACTTGTTTATACGTTCGTTCTTTTATTTTAAACTGCTTGATATTGAATTCGACGATGGGTTTTTTTGCGAGATATGCGGGAAAGTTCCTAAGAAAGTCGTTATGGATGGAACAACTCTGGGGATTCAAAAGACCTATTTGCCGAACCATTTGGTACAGTCTGGAACTGGCTTGCTGGACGGAAGATAAGTATTTTGAGTGTTATTCATCACTTGTAAAATTGTGAAGTGGCTATAATGCTTTCCCTATACAATTTGATTTGTCGAAATCAAACGTCCAAAAAGTGATGGTCCTAACTTGCAGGTCACCTGTGATACTGTATAGTGACTTCTGTGGACTATATAGCCTGAGGCGACTAATTATTAATTCACCACACCTAATTCCCCCTATAAACATACTGTATGTATATCCATACAGTTACCGTATACTGTACATGTACTGTAGGTCCATAATATCGTATCAAAACCTTGTTCTAGATCTTTCCTTTAACAAATAATTCTGGTCAGATTGACCTCACCATGATATCATGTAAATGCAAGTGACTTATATTCCGTTTCTTGTTGTATTTTCTGAAATACTAGGTTTGAAATGCGGAATTTCATTAATCGAAAAGGTATGCGAGATTTACTGAAGGATTTTAGTAAATCAGAGACCAGCTTTGAAGAATTTGAAGAATTGAAATCTGAAGTATGTAAACTGTATTGATTAATAGATACTGCTTACAATATATTGTAGATGAGGAAACTTTAGACGACATTTAAAGTAGTTTGAAAGCCGTCAATGAATTGTTTATACTGTAAGACTGTTTATGAGGCTATTTTCCATTGGCGTACATGACCTATTGTATTTTTTTGAGCGGTTGCCAGGCAGCTACAAAAAAGGAATTGATTGGTTGATCATAAAATCCATTAACGGAATCCAAACACTAACCACTTTTTATGGTCCATTATATAACTTATAATAATAGTAATAATAATAATAGATAATATTTTTATCTATCTATTTTCGATTTTCGCTTACCTCAAAAGGCCAAAACAGTATGTTTCATCTCGGAAGATTCGTTAGGTGGTAGCTACCACTTAATTGGGTCGAGATGAAACAGACTGTTGTGGCCTTTTGAGGTAAGCGAAAATCGAAAATAGATAGATAGAGATACATATATAATTATCTTACTTTGTATATATTTCCTGTTTAGATTCCATCCCCTGGCCTAAAGATACTCTTCGATTCACTGGAGGAGGGGGGTTTCACCAGCGGTTGTCCAGACTCGTGCAAAAGATTTCTTGCAGCACTTGCCTCTGATAAACCAGTGTGCGCGATTGTACCACCCAATGAAGAAGTTTTGGATTTGTTGACACGGATCTCTGATGGAGTAAATCCAAAAGATAATCCTGCAACAGATCTGAAGCTTCTTCACGAACAAGTGCCCTTACTGTTCAACATCTTAAAGATATGTGGTGAGATTCCACCTAGTATCCGACCTGTTGTTAAGGAGTTGACGTGTAAAGCTGTTAGCCCGTTTGAGTACGAAAACGGTCAGCAACGACTCCCGCACAACCTTCCACCACCACAAGAAAACAACGCGTCTAACGGATATCTTCCTTGTCTACCAGAACTGGTTCAACGCGGGAATTATGTGCTTGACAGTAAAAAGACCAAACAGGGTGATTGCGCTAAACTTGCAAGAGCTAAGCATAAGAAACATGGCACATTGATCCCTGGAATATTTTGCCTTCTCTGCCCTCACGGTAAGACTTTTTTAATAGAGTGAAGAATAATAACGTTAAAGCGAATGAAGCTATTACACTCTTAATAACTTTAATAAAGCGAGTAAAGCTATTATACTCAAATAAATTTTATTAGATAGAGGAAAGGCGTTAGATTTTGATATATTACATGCAGGGGCTGGTATGTTCAAAGCTCGGTTGGCGCTAACTCTAGGTTAAAGTTTAACTCACTGTTTTAGGTTTAAGTATTTTCTACATAAGATTTCTGGAAAAATATTTCCAAGTTTACAAAAAAAAACAGTCGGAAACTTTGCTTTGAATTTTACGTTTACCCAAGGTTAAGCTATAACCAGCTTTTGAACAACTCGCCCCATGCAGTTGTATATTTATAAAAAACTGACCGAGATATTAATGTCCAAATTCGATAGCATATACCTGCATTTCTGGATGTGTCTAAATTCACTAGTTTCTCATAAATTCCATAATGCTATGCGCTGGGGTACCAAAACAATCAAAATGGTACCTTATTTCTTATCTTAGCGGTTATTAAGCCCTGACGAAACTATATAGGCGCATAGTATACATGGGATTGAGTGAAAATAGTAAATAAATACATTCTCCAGCCGGCAGAGAAGACAATTTTTTATACATTTCTCATTCAGTTTTCGTCCAAATTGCAACAAAATGTGATCGTTTTATCCTTGGCCTATTATTTAATTCGCCCTACAAATATTCAAAAAATAGACAAACACACAAACAAACGCTGGTGAAAACATATTTTCCTGGCGGAGGTATAATAAGAATACCGAGGAAATAACAAAGATAGAGAAATGTAGTGACTTTAAGTATGAGTTATCAGAGATGTGGAAAGGGGAAGTGACCAATTAAGGTATTTAAATATCCTGCCAGTCATCATAGCTGCCTTCGGAACGATGTCCAAGCATGTACAAGATAACCTGGACAATTGGTTTGTTAGGAACCTGATATCGATATGCTGCGGGAGATGTAGATGTCATGTGTATTTCATTTATCTATTCTAGGTATTTGCTATGGATTCGAGATAATGCGAGATCACGAATCACCAAATATTCCCTTTACAATTCTAAGAACACGCTTTCCAAAAGGTATAGTGATGTTCGTTAATTAATATGACATTACATTTTGTCTTTAATTCTATAAAAGGTTTAACTTTGTAACTTCAGCTTTTGTTTTCGACTTAATGAACTTGTTGACATTAGAAAAAATAGTGTATCTGCTGTGTGTTTGTGGCAACTCTTTTTTATCTATTTAGCGCCAGAGTTGGTTATTTATGATAACTCGTGTAGACTGCACGAGTACTGCTTGAACCGCGATCCGGCGTTTTTCAAGAACACAAAGTTTGTGGTTGATAAATTTCATTGGAAAAATCATTCTGGTACGTGGGCATTTTGTATTTTTTCTTTTAAAATTATAAACGTATTTATATAATATTTCTATAGTTTCGATTGGCCGTAACTCGATTTAGTTTCGATTGGCCGATTGAATCTTCCTACTAATTCTTCATGACGAAGGGTCTTTGCTCAACACGTCGAGAACGATGGTAAAAATGAAGAATAAAAGGGATAGCGATATAGCCATCGACCGTGGGCCCAGTACTTATAAAAAATCGTACGCGCTCACCAGTCGTAAAGTAGTCTTTATATGCACAAAACTGTTTAAATCCGTTTAAATGGTATACAATACTTTATTAATTTTACTGTATAATTATATTGATTTCATTTTAGGATGCTGTGAGGGATATAACATGAAATTGTACCCGACTCTTACCGTCCATAATAGCCAAGCTGCCGAACAATGTAACTCCGCAATAAAACCCCTTGCGTCTATGGTCTCCTATATGGAATATCAAAACTTTCTTCTTTTTTCAAAGCTCTATATCTGGTACAGAAATATGCTGCGCATAGTCAAATTAAACCCAGAGAGAGACGTACCCTACAAAGACTACTTTCTTGCTATCAACGGCCAAAGTTAATAAATAATTCAAAACCTCATTAATAATTCTCACCAATTATCCAATCTTGAGTAAGAAATTAGTCACGTGCATACGTCTTTATACCAGCTAAAGAACACTTTAACAAAAGACCATTGTTATGCAAACTATATAAAGATTTTTATATAAAAAATTTTATATAAAGATTTTTATATAAAGATTTGACTTATTATATGCATACGTTTTTGAAGCCATTTAAAAAACTCGCAGGTCGTGTTTTATTAGGTCTAAAGCCACTCGCGCTGCGCGCTCGTGGCTTTAAACCTAATAAAACACTCCTGCTCGTTTTTAAATAGCACATCAACAATGTTTTTATAGGCCTATAGTGATACTCGACGGCGCATGCGGGTTGTAACGAGCTCCGTAAAATCTTTTTAAAATCTTCTTAAAGATTTTGCATTTTCCCTTTAGAGTTCTAACAATAAAATTACAAAACAGTGTATAAAGGTCGCCTAGCTTGAAGATATGAGGTATTTCGGTGGCGCAATCGTCAGAGCACACACCTCTGCTATCGTGGGTTCGATTATCGTTGACTTATAATAGTTACTGTATGTGAACAGAGTTAGTCAACGCTCTGCCGAAAGTCCTGGGTTTCCTCCGGGCACTCTGGATTTTTTTCTTCCCTTGATATATATTGATTAATGGCACTCAAACTTACATGGAAAGAATCTATACACTGGCATTACTGTATTTGCAGATGATTGTTGTTTACTTAAAGAATAAATGACCCAGTTACACGATACCAGATTTGCATCGCAGCGACATCGCGTTAAGACGCTCCTGGTCACTAATCAACCTCGTCCCCAGGGCCTATTGAGGAAGGAGGCGAAGCAGCAAAGGCCCTGGTAAAGGCTGGTCACGTGATGCTTAAAATTTTGAATATTTCAGAAATTTAACTTTTCAAACCGGGGGTGCGGGCCGCTTTGATTTTATCAAACATGGCCGTGCAAAGGGGCGATAGAATTAACCTTTTGCGACTGAAACCAGAGACTGAAACTATGATGATAAACTTTTCAACTGACAGTGGAAATACTGTAAATATATAGTCTGCGATGTTCTTCAAAAAATATGGAATATAATCAACAGCAATACTTGTGGAAGATCAAGATTCAAAGAGAAGAGTCTAAACACTGACTGACAACAGTAAATATTTCTTTTCAGCTTGGAAGCGTGTTTTATAATATTTGTCGTTTGGGAGTCAATAACATACTGTCACTACTGTCAGTGAAGAATTTGATTTGGGACTTTGATGTACCTTTATGAAAAGATTACTACTGAATACAAATGTGCATGTAAAATGTGATTAGAACGTTTTAATATGAACAGTTGCACTGTCATTGACTCAATATATTTTAATGTGGGACAAACATTAAAAACATTAAAGTACTGTGCCAAGTGACAAAATTCCATGCCGACCATGGGTTACGTATGTATGCATTTTTATTAAACGTTTATACCAATATACACTATTTTAAACCTTTGTGTGTGAATTTTGTGTGTTGATTTTATGATATTTGACAACCATGAATATTAATAATATAATATGTTAACAGCAAGTTTACAGTATATCGTATAATACAAAAGCAATATCACTGATATTATCACAAGACTCAAGTACTGTACATGGTCTAATAGATGTTTCTTAGTCAGCAACTATGCTCTTTGACATTGTGGCAAGCGTTATATTGTGGTTAGCTTGGTTTTTCACTTTTTTGATACAACTATAGAATACCCACAACTTTCACACCTTACCGCTATTAATTCCTTGTAAACCAAACTAACATACTCATATGATTTAATCTCTAAACTTTACCTTAAACTATTTTGAAGTGATTCTTGTACTTATTTATGTGTCAATGAATGCGGAAAAATGGCGAGGTATTCTATAAGCATTCCGGCATGTGTGTTTTTGAACCTTCACTGTTGAGAGAGCATGCCACGGATCTCCCCAAATTATCTGAGCACTTCAACCAGACCAACAGCTGCCAAATGGCAACTATGCTCAGAGGTGTAACTTAACACTTGCCCGGGGCAAGTGAATATCATGATGGGCAAGTAAAAGTTTCCTCTTGGTTGCCCGAACGGGCAAGTTGCTTTGCCACAAAAAGCTGGCCAGCTTTCAGTTCATATTATTATTGTCGGATAGAATAAAGGCTGTTCGACGATATTGGTTCAAGCTGGCAAATCATCTGCATCAAATTCATCTAAATTGTTTGGTTATATTATGCATTTGATTCTCTTTTTGGTTATTAAATGTTTATTCATAATATGATAACCGAACGAAATATGGCAGGACTTCATTTATGGCAGGACTTAATTTGGGACTTTATTAGTCCTGTTGTCTGTGCCTTCAATTTCTTATTGTAAAACTAATAAAAAATAAATAATGGTGATTAGTGTTACATTAAACAAGTGTACTTGATTCAAATTTTGTTTAATATGTGAGCCAAAGCTAGATCTGAGGTAGTTTAGATCTGAGGCAGTAACATATAGCCAATGCCACTAGTCCAATGAGTGGATATGTTGTCTCTCTAATTTATACTGGCCCGCGTAGGTACCCCATTGCCTGATGGCAAGTGGATTTTATTCAGGGCAACCAATTTTCATGTCCAACTTGCCCTGAGGGCAAGTGGTCAAAAAAGTTAAGTTGCACCACTGATGCTGTATACAAATTATATACCTGAAAGGTAACTTACATCATATTGTGTCATTTAAATACTAATACTTGTATTCTCACAGTGTATTAAGATATACAAATGCACTTGTGATGCCCAAAGAATTGCCACAAAAAAACCCATAAACCACAAATCAGTCAATTTCAGTAAGTAGGGCACACTGGGGCACATTGCAGCTCAATGGGTTAACTAGAGACATTGTCAGATTTTGGTTAATAACCATAATTGCAAGAGGTCAGTACAGTCTGTAACAATAAGTAATTCAGGAATTCACACAGTTCTCAGTAGTTAAATGATTATCGGATTTCATGTTAAATGATTATCGGATAATGTTGAGCATCAAGAATATATGTATAATATCCTTCATACATTTATAATAATATTCAGGCTAAATATCATAGTTATTATTTTATGTACTATAGTTTTATCAGGTATAAAGATATGAGGTGAAGCGAAGTACCTTTAGGTCTGATAAAGCATACATTGCGAATGTTTTAAATTGCTCAACTGATGGTCACCAGCAACAAATAGTACTTTATTACAAGGCGGCAAAATGTATTTATATTAAAAGAGATGAATAATCTTGTCACTTGACATCAGGTGTCTTGTATTTGTCCAGAAGAGACCCCTTGTTATTGTATCATGTTTTGAGAATGAGTTCAATTTTGATATTTGTTGTTGATCTGAGCAAAATATTGATTATTGATTTGCCTACTGAGGTACACATTATTGAACAGTCAGTTGTGGTGAGTGATGCTGAACTGCCTGTTGTATGTTGTGAGTGATTTTGAGCGCCTGTTGTGATGAGTGACACTGAATTGCCCCAATTGTGGCTCAGGAAATGTACCTGCTGACTTGTCAAATAATCTCCTTAAATAATGTTCTGGGAAGTAATTTGTGTAATT